TTTCACTCTAAATCTCATGTTATTAGGGAGGAAATAGAAAACATGGACATCATATTCTTGTGGTTGCTCCTGTATTAAATGTTTGAAAACGCTTGGCAAAAATAAAAACTGCTGTATGAAACATTAAAATAAATCTTTTGAAATGGTCATGACCAAACCTGAAATCTCTAAATACATTGGTCAAAACGTTCTCCAAAAATTTGTCTAGAGATTTAATTTAAAAACATCCATTGTGTCAGAAATCTGAAAGAAAAGGTTCATTTCAATTTCAAATCAGCTAATGCTAAAGACTACAACCGGGGGCCCTGAGTGGCTGAGTGGTCTAAAGCGCTGACTGTTATGAATCACTGCCATCTCACATCTGCGTGAGTTTGAGTCCAGACTCGGCTAACGTGGGTAAGTGAGAAAGATTGCTAGTAGCTTCTTGTGGGTTGGTGGTTCTTCCCGAGGTTTTCCAGCGTTCTTCCTCCACCATTAATACTGGCTGCCATGTATCCTGTGTTGAAAAATGGCTTTAAATCATATTACATCAACAACAAAGACTACAAACAACCTTTCACTCTCCAAGAACTTCAATACTGAGTTGATTGAGCCCATGACAATTCAGCAGGACAAGATGATATCCAGTATAAAATTTTTAAACATAGCTCTCAATATACTACTAAATATTTTATGTAAAATTTGGGAAATTGACTTTCTTTCAGTGTCTTGGCAAGAAACTACATTGATATACCAGTACCAAAATTTGGAAAAAACCACAACACTTCCAGATATTGTTCCATATCATAGAATGGATGATAATTCCTTGTATCTCAAATCAAAGAAAGTACTACTGGTACCAAACATTCAATATGAATTAGAACCTAGAGAATTTCAAAACCCACTATGTCAGACTTGAAGCATTTATTAGAAAAGCTTTCATAAAGAATAGGCATATATTTGCCATCTATTTCAGCTTGGTATGCCATAATGAATGATCTATTCCACTTAGGTATATGGGAGCTGCCTAACTTTTTCACCATTGTTTGAAAGAAGTTTCGGAATTAAGGTAGGCAGCATCCTTTCTGAAAGGTATCCAAAGGAGATGAATGTACCCAAGGGTAGTGTATTGTCAGTAACCCTATTCAACAGTAAAATTAGCAGCATGGTGAAATGCCTTAATTCAGGAGTAGACTGCTCTTTCTGTTGCAACAACTTTTTGATCTGCTGTAGATCAAACTATGCATTCTTTTGAATGTTAATTATAAATAAGCTGAAATAAAGTTTGAAAATGGACAGATGTAAATGCAATTAAATTCTTATGCTGATTACATCATACTCATAAAGTCATAAATGGTAGAAAGCAGCCAAAGGTGCACTGTAGTCATTCATTTCTGAATGAAAGATTTCATGCGCTTATGTTAAATACATGTATTATATAAATCAGCATGTTTATCATACATGGAAAAATATGTGGTATGAAAACTCCACAAATTTTCGAACATCAAACCCACTGTAATTGGAGAGTTGCATCGGTTTTGTGGGAAAAAAAAAAATCACAGAGATGATGTATTACTGAGCTGATAACATACAAGATACTGATATTCTGACTTGTGATTACCTCCTGAAGGGTGCATCTCAACCAGAGTGCATACCCTGCCAGTGTCCACTGGCAGAGGAGCAGATTGTTATCAAGTGTGTGGACTGCCACCCAGTTTTGATGTGAGCTGCACAAAGAAACAGTATGATGATGCACCACTTAAGAAAATCTTGGACTTGCAAAAATAACTAATATTGTGTTAAAAGGGTTTTAAACATGTTATCTTTATATTATGTTTTATATACATCTTGCAAATTTTAATATCTTTATATTTTATGATTTATCATGTTGTTCTTCATCAATTAATTTATTTTGAAGGATTTATCTTCCAAAGTTTTTTGTGTAATTCTTGCATATTTTGAGTACCATACAGTCACTATTGTGTTGAGGTGGTGAAAAACACTATTACATAAATACCATTTATTTAGATAATATGATATCAATGTATTTAAAACATATATGTATTGGTATATATAGTTATCATGTTATCAGTATACCATGCACAAGTACAGACAGTTGTACAGTGCTTTCAGTGTATCTAAACCATGCACATGTACATATAGTTGTACTGTGCTTTCAGTGTTTCTAAACCATGCACAAGTACAGACAGTTGTACAGTGCTTTCTGTGTATCTAAACCATGCACATGTACATATAGTTGTACTGTGCTTTCAGTGTTTCTAAACCATGCACAAGTACAGACAGTTGTACAGTGCTTTCAGTGTATCTAAACTATGCACATGTACATATAGTTGTACTGTGCTTTTACTGTTTCTAAACCATGCACAAATACATACAGTTGCACAGTGCTTTCATTGTATCTAAATCATGTACATGTACATACAATTTTATTGTGCTTACATTGTATTTAAACTATGCACATGTACATACAGTTGTACTGTGCTTTCATTGTATCTAAATCATGTACATGTACAAGCAGTTGTACTGTGCTTACATTGTATCTAAACCATGCACATGTACATACAGTGTGAACCAGCTATATCATTCTCCATTAAAACATGAAACAAAGTCCTGGTGTGGCTCTTGAAATTTCATATACATGTATTTTTCTTGTACATGAAATCCAAAATTTCTTTCTTAAAAGTACAAAATAAACCCCCATAAAAAGTTTATTTTCATTTTGGGGAAGAGATTGCGTATGAATAATACAAGACAAATGTTTTATGCACTTTTGTTGTATACAAAAAAATAGTTTTTTTCTTAAAAGAACAAAATATAACTTGTAAAAAATTTACTCAAGGATCAAGCAGGGCTTTGCCAATATCACAGGTTGTGATTTTTCTTTTCCTTATTGGTGGCAAAATATATTATCTGGCGATTTTTTTGGTTTGTTTGGCAATATTGTTGGCTGTTTAAATTTGTATATATAACCATTGGTTCAGAATGGATATATTCAGAGGCCCTATGAATGTAAGCCACAAACTTGATATAAAATGCACTGAAATTTATTGTTACAGGAACAGATACTTTATCCATATTGACAGACCATCTTAACAGTGCTTTGTTATATCATAATCCACTTATATTGACATCTAGCATCTGTACTGTATATTCTAAGATATATACTTTTTTGACATTTCTGGTAGCAGAGATGAAGCAGACAAAGCATTATCTCATAATCTATCTTTTGTCAGATTTATGGTCACTCATTAGGATTTAATACATTTACATAGACTGAAATTTTATGTGGATGGTAAGTAAAATTACTTTTCTTTTCACTCAGATATAAATCCTTTAGAACATAAACATTTTCTGTAGTAATCCCTGTCATTAGACCAGAACACCCGTGTCTCTATTGTGCATTGATTCCTTTTAAAGTTTCTGATGCATGCATGGAAGGCAGCATCACTCCGCTACCACAAATGTACCCCCCAAAAAAACAACAAGATCTTATTGATCTATTCTGTAGGCAGGGAGGAACAGTAAGTAAATGATGGACAAATCCTTTTTTAAAATGAACCCAGATAAAATAGTTTGCTGAAATTTCAAAGAAAACAGATTACGTTTGAAGCACTGATTGTTACGAAAACATACTAAATATGGAAAAGAAAATCAGTCTCAGTCATGCAATACAATTATTTGATGTTGCTGCCACAATAAGAAAAAAGCATTTGTTTGGTTTTCCAAAGCTGTCCTTTATCAGTGACTTAAGTAAAGCATGCACCCGTCAACAAAAAAAGCAATCATCAATAAAAACAAAGAATCTTTCTTCAAAGGAAGTCATCACCCAACTTAAATAAAAGCAATGGAATCTGATGGATGGAATCTTTCTTCAAAGGAAGTCATCACCCAACTTAAATAAAAGCAATGGAATCTGATGGATTATTTAATTTTTCAACAGGACTGGCAGACGTTTACTGTGCCCTGAAAGTTTCCTTTTTGCACAAACACATAGTAAACTTAGGAGATCTTTGGCAAAATTCATTGAAAAATACAGGTGAAGGGACTAGACCTCAGACAATGAAGTCCTTGGTTGGATGAACAACCCCTTTGTTAGATGAATCAGCCTGGGTTTTCCACAAATTAGTTACAAAAATACCCTGTTTGAAATTATATCTAAATGTTTGAAACAAAAATCCTTTAAAAAGCACAAAACAAAAGATTTTAGTGGTACAAAAACATATAAAAACAATTATATTTTGGTGTGAATTTGGGGAAGGGGCGTCTGTCTGGTGTCCCCCCTAAAAAAGAAAAAAGTTTATGCTTATAAATGCATCCAATGACAACTTAAAATGCAAACTAACTTTTACTGTCTTGGAATGTACAGAAAAGTAATTGTTCTTTATCATTTGTTACGCGATTGTGCTATTTTTCCACTGAATTCCAGCCTATATGACCTGTGACAAAATTATTGATTATTTTAAATCTGTGTGTTTTCATATTTTTGATGGAATTGTATTGTGGATTCAATGTATGTGATGAGATTCACTGGTGTGTATATGAATTTGATACTTTATCCATGATATACATTAGACATGTAGGGGCCCTCAGTGGTCTAAAGCGATCACCATTACAGATCACTGCCATCCCACCTCTGTCTACATGAGTTTGAGTCTCAGGCATGGCTAACGTGGGTATGTGAGAAAGCCTGCCAGTATCTTAGTGTAAGTCGGTGATTCTTCCTGGGATTTTCCAAGGTTCTCCCTCCACCAATTATACTGGACATCATTTATAGCCTATCTTGTGCTGAAATATGGCATTAAACCCAACAACAACATTAGACATGTATATATAAAAAGTATACACATATTTGTACCAATGCATAGTTCTCTGAATAAAGTAAAATGTTATATATGCCTTCTGTTTTCACTACAGGTATATTTCCCATTTATTATGCATCAAATTAAGATGGTTCAATGGCTTCCTTACTTACTGTTATAGCAGGGTATCTAAACCCTGCAGACTGCTCCAGTGTCCTAGTGGTTAGAGTGTCTGCCTCAGATGCAGGAGGTCGTGGGTTTGAACCCTGGCTAGGTCATACCAAAAACTTAAAAAATGGTACTAACAGCTGTCTTGCTTGGTGCTCAGCACTAATAGGTTAGTGTTAGGACTGGTCAGCCTGGTGTCAGAATAATATGACTGGGTGGGACATCATGCCACATGTCTGTGGCATGATGCCCCAGTGCTAGACATCACTATAAACTGCCACACTGCGGACATTGTAGCAATATGACTGAAAAAATCGTCAAAGCTACATTAAAAATCTAAATCACACACATAATCTAAACCATGCTTACATTGTATCTAAACCATGCACATGTATATATCATTTTACCATGCTTTCTTTGTATGTAAATCATGCACATATACATACAGTTGTACTGTGCTTACATTGTCTAAACCATGCACATGTACATACAGTCCTACTGTGCTTTCACTGTCTAAATCATGCACATGTACATACAGTTGTACTGTGCTTACATTGTATCTAAACCATGCATATGTACATACAGTGGTATTGTATCTAAACCATGCACATATGCATGCTGTCGTACTGTGCTTTCAGTGTGTCTAAATCATGCACAAGTACACACAGTTGTAGAGTGCTTGATTTACTAGACATAGGACTACAGTACTGGGTCAGGAAATGAACCTGCCATAGGTTACCATGCTGCTGTTATTTTGAACCTTGCATCCACATGTTGGCCAATGATCTGCAGTACCAAGTGACAGACACAGTATTGTAAGTTACCATGATGTAACTATGTACATTTTTGTTTCATATTATGTCTACAGTACCAAGTGACAGATACAGTATTGTAAGTTACCACAATGTAACTGTATGTACATTTTTGTTTCATATTATGTACAACATTACCAATTTTATTTACTTAATACATTACTGTTAGGTTTACTTTGGAATTAGTAAAAACTACATAATATTAGTGGATTTGAAACCTACTCATGGCTACTAAATTATATCTGTAAAAATCTAGCTCTGTTTCAGCGCCAGGATTTTTTTTTTATCACATTTGATTCTCCTTCTTCTCATTATTTAAATACTTACTTTAAAACAGTTACCTTTAAAGCTTTGTGACACATTTCTGAAAATCATATTTTGTCTCTTCAGAAATCATGAAAGCACTTTGCTGCATTTGCCAGGAGTTCTTTGTCAATGGTGACACAATTAATGTGTCTGCAATTTCCTGTGGGCATATTTTCCATGATACGTGCTTGAATGAATGGCTTCTTACAGCAAATACCTGTCCAAGCTGTCGATGTCAAGTGAACAAGAGAGGTATTGTCCCAAAACTATTTTTTGATGGCGGGGATGATATCGATCCTGCAGAATTTGATTCTGACAAGCTAAGGAATGAAGTGGACAATCTGAAACTGAAGATAAGAGAGAAAGACAAAGAGAAGGGTGAAGTAATAGAATCCAAAAATTTGCTGTCATGCCGCATGAAAGAGATGGAAAAAGCAAAGTCACAAGTGGAGAGGCTTTTACGGGAAGAGCAGAGTATGAACTCGTCACTTAAGAAACAGCTAGAATATTTCCAGTGTCAGCAGAAATCAATAGAGATGGAAAAGGAAGAATGCAAGAGAATTAAAAAAAAGCTGATTGAACTTCAAGGGGTTGAGACTCTATTGTCAGGTATATGTAGTCCAATCACTGTTTTGAAATCCCGAAACAATCAACTCAAAAATACAATAACTGTGCATAAACTTGCATTTTCTTCTAATTGTTGTACAAGCTGGTGTGATGTACTTGATGTGCTACAAACAAATATTCTTAGTAACTTGTATTAAAAATCCTTGACATCAAAGTCCAGATAATGATGGCATGAAATTGTTTTGTTTTATGAAAAATACTAAAATTTTATTGAAATTGTTTATTTTAAGGATAATTAATTTACAGAAGCTGATTGGTACCTTTGAAGGGGTAGACAAATTTCATTGATCCAATAGACAGATTTCATTTATCCACCAGACAGATGGACTGAAAACTCTGGTTGCTTTGCAAAAACACTGCTGTCTGATTAAAAATCTTAAATGTCCTACCAATTGAAAAAGCGAATGCTCATTTATTAAAAATTTCACAACTATGTGAAAATGAAGACCAAAGTGTTAATACTGTATTTATTATTATTTTGTAGACAGCCTATTTAATCAATTTTCACAATGAAAAATGTTCCCATTTGAAATCCTAAACATCACACTCTGATTAGCCAGCTGGCTCTGATTTTTGGTGACTTGGTTGCCCAGGTTTTATTGTTAGTTCAACTGGTTATAGATCAGAAAAGCTTATAGTCCATTAGTCCATCATCTGTCATCTACCTTTTTTTAACACAAATTTGTTATCACTACTCTTCCAAAAACACTTGGAGGATTGTCATGAATTTTATACACACTTTCATCTTTCTCCTAGATGAAAATGCTGCTGCTCCTCCTACATCACATGACCATTATAATTGACGCCTTCAAAATCTTGCTGCAACTAATTACCAGTTTCTCTCTTCATGTAATTCATAATCTGAAAGACACTACATTACTGGAAAAATCCTATAATTGTTAAGTCATTCACAATCCAGATTTTCAAGAATTTTGGTAAAAGTGGATTTTGCCAGCATATTATCAAGTATTGGGCAAGTGACAGAAGATTTTAGTTGTCCTGTCATATGTTCAGCTTACTATGAACAGGTTGGACTTTTTCATCATCTTACTCATTTTCTGAGTAAAGATATGAGGTTATATTTATATACCATTAGGAATAGCAATAACTTTATTTACTGAACTTTGATTAAACACAAAGTTTTTCACTTCTACAAGTATAAGAAACCTTATAACCCATATCAGGAGCCTTGATTAATGGGCCTCTACATCACATCACAAAGATCAGAACTGGTCATCAGATTCAGGACCACATAGATGCAAAACAAGCTCATCACTGATTTCCTACTATTTTTACTAAGTCAGTGATGATTAAGGATAAAAGTACATTATTGTTTTGCAAAGTATTCATTCAGTTTCAAATAGGAAAGATGCATGCTTAAAAGGTGCATAAATTTGATTTTATTTTACGAGTACTTTTAAGTAAGCAGTTTATGTACATATTTTACATGGACAACATTTTTAATGATTAAAACAGTTCACAAAATACTCCATCAAGTTTAGAAATGCAATTACTTACAACTAAGAAGTAAAATATAAAAGTTTATCCAGTCCTTATTGAGAGCTTTCTCTCAAAGCAAATGTCAATGATTCAAACAATATTTGACAAATCTGTTTTTTTTTTCTCAGCATGTTACTATTAAATACTTGCAAAATAGAAACTTATTCTTCAGTATTTTAGATTTTCAAAGCATTTCCATAGGTAATCTTTGTGTGCAACCTACATGAATGGTTCTGAATCTTTTTAACAGGATGTGAAAGTGATGCTCAGGAGATTATAGCTCAGTCTGGAGAGGGGGAAGGAGCCATTACACTTCTTTCTCAACAGTGTGCCTTAATTAAACGTGAATATGAAAGGGTCAAGTTAGAAAAAAAAACTCTTAAAGATGAACTGGATAAATGCCGTAAAGAAGTGTTATTGAAAAGCAAAACTTTGTATGATCAGACTAAAAAATTGGAAATTTTACAAGAACAGTTGCTTCGTTCTGAGGAAGACTTAAAAACAGTAGAGAAAGAAAAGGAGGTTCTTAAGCGAAAATTATCTCATTTGAAAAAGGCAATAGCTAGTCCTAGTGCAGCTGCAAGTTCAAGTTTTATTGAAACACTGATGGAACCAAGTCCAAATAATTCGATGAATTCCACACCAATCAGACTCAGTAAACCTGACAAAAATGACAGTTTGATAGATTTAGCATCACCAGATATTGTACAGCCTACGCCTCCAGAGGTAAAAATTAAACGAGAATGCGAACAGAATGAAATTAAATATGTGAAGATCAGCAGTGCCTCTGAACAAAATCCAGCCAAGAAGGTTCGAAGAGATATTCAAGATATCAGCAATTTCACATCAACTTTAGGGTCTATGAACATTTTTAAGAAAAAGAGTTCAGATTACAGTAGTGTCATTCGACAGGGATACAATGGTCTTGGGGGCCATGAGAGTTTTACTCAAATACAGAAAGTACCAAAACCTCTGTTCAAGAAACCTCGCAGTAGAAGTAAAGGACTGTCAAAATTAGCTTCTACTAAGACACCGTTATTACCAACCTTAGATGAATTTATAACACTAGACTAGATTTAAAACTTATAACACTGGACCAGATCTGAAACTTATAACACTGAACTAGATCTAAAATTTATAACACTGGACTAGATCGAAAATTTTCCACACTAACTGTGATGAGGCTTTTTGTTGTTTTTGTGGTGTAGCTGAATACATAAGTTTCAGTATTTTCTTGAAAGTGTTAAATTATATTAATCTGAAAATAATCTTTTTTTTCCCAGTGTTGATTTGTAACATATGTTGTAAAATCATTTAATGTTAACAGTAAAGAGCATTTGAAACTTGTGCTTTTATCTTCATTTTGCTATGTTGGTAACTTATCTGGCTAAATGCCAGGTGAGCTCCGGGTATCTGTATCTTTAAATGTCCTGTATTTTTTGTCTTATCTCTGTTTTGTATTTGCCTTTGAAAAAGACCCATTTAGAGCCAAAAGTGCTTAGACTAGCTAGAAACTAGTTTTGCATTACTTATTGTCAATTTATTGGATTTTTTGAGTGGTACCAGGCCCATGTGGGCCTCTTTCTTGATATTTAGTGTGATATGCTATTATTTTTACTTCAATGGTTTCTGGTAAGCCTAAAGTATGGAGCCAAAAAATACAAACAAGGTGCCAGATCTGCCATACAATGGAGTATAATAGGTTATATCAATACCATGTTGGTCTAATCTTACAGATATGAAGTTTCATCTTCACTAAAAATTTGGAACCATAATATCAACATTTCCATCCATCCATCCAGCCATCACATTTTAGATTCCACTCTGTAACTCTAATGCCATATGTGATTAAAGAATCATACTTT